GTAAAAGTAAAGGTTTGTTTTTCCCCAGAGAAGTTCACATACGGCTTAAATTCTGTGCAGTTGCAGGAATGTTTAGTTTGGAAAGAACTTTAGAAATTATATGTTTTGAGGTTTCTAAACCTAAATCGGCTTCACAATAATTTAGTGAATATTGAAGAAATAGAAATTCCTAGGACCTAGCCAAGACTTACTGAATTACAATCTCTGAGGTGAAATCTATGTATTTTTGACAAATTCCAAAGATGATTTTGATGCACAGCCAATTAGGAATTCACTGATTAGTATTTCAAAAAAATTCCTCCAAGAATTTCTGGTTTATATTCCCTTTTCCACCCTCAACTCTCCTGAACCTGCTATTTTGAAAGGCTCTGTCTCAGTGTATGAATTAAGTAATTATTAATTCTTTCTTTCTATAAAAAAGTATTTAAGGTAAAATTTACATATAACAAAATTCATGCTTTTTAGTGTATTACACAATCAAGCAACCATCACAACTATCAAGGTACAGAACAGTTACATCACCCTAAAAAGTTACCTGTGTCTCTCTGTGGACCATCCTGCCCCCATCTTCAGTCCCTGGCAAAAACTGATCTGTTTTCCGTCCTAGCTGTGCCTTTACCAGATTGTCATATAAATGGTACATACAGTATGTAGCCTTTGAGTCTAGCTTTCTTACATTTAGCATAATGGGTTTCAGATTCATGCACGTTGTGCATATCAGTTCATTCCTTTTGATTACTCAGTAATATTTATTTCATGGTATTGAAGTTTTCTTTGTTGGGTGACTTTAACTACAAATTCAATTTTTAAGAATAGATATAGAACTATTTATCTATTTATTTTTGAGTGAGCTTTGACAAATTGTGTCTTTGAAGGATTTTTCCCATTTCCTATATGTTGTCAAATTATTGGCATAGAACTGTTTGTAGTATTCCCTTGTTAACCTTTTAATTTCTGTAGGGTTGTCCCATTTTTATTAATCAAAAACCATCAAATTTGCAGTTCGACAGTCAGTCTAGCATAAAGGAACTAGGATTATCTCACTGACTTGACAGAGTTCCAGATCAAAGCAAAATTAGATGTTTGAACTATCCAGGTCAGTCTTATTTGTAAGAACAATTGATTTCTGTTAGTCACTTTGAAATAATACTCTTTCAATGTCCTCACTGACATGTTTGCAATCCAGTGACCTAATCAGCTTTTTTCCAGATTCTTTGAAATTTTTAAAAATAAACAGTCACGTCAACTATGAATGCCATCTTTATAAAAAAGAAAACTGAGATCAGAAATGTTAAGTAGTTTGCCAAGAAACAGTTTGGATGACGTTAAAAACCAATAACTTAGCTAAATCCAAAACAAAGACATCTGGGAGAACTATAAAAGAATAGGCTTAAGGGTTCAAGTGCAGCCGGTATGGTTTGCAACCCTGCATTAGTAATTTATTGATTGTTTGCTTTCAGACAAATAACTTCCCTAAACTTCCATTTCTTTATCTCTAAAAATACTTAGTGGGTCAGTGTGATGTTTTGTAGAGATTGATACAAAACACCTGGCATGTGGTCAATGCCTAGTAAATAGAAGCGTCCATTATTTGCCATGGCAACCAGCTCAATCATGTGGGTTAAAATTAAACTATGCCAGTTTTTAAAGATTAGGGTTTGGAAGACAGAAAGGGCAAGTTCCTCTAAGTCGCAGAGAAAACCTTCCTTAATTTCTTACATATTCCAGCACAGGTTCTTTGAAGTTATTTTCAGTGTGTGAGGGGCAATCCTCCTTCGCTGTCATCGAGAAAATGCTTAGTGACTCCAATTTAGTCAAGAAACGTGTAATAAGCATCATATGTGATGAGCATTACGTTTAGGCCTATAGGGGCAACCAAAGAAGCATATACAGATCCCCTGCTTTTTAGAGAGTTTGAAGTAGAACCAAGCTTCAAGTGGAGGAAAGTGGTATCCATGAACCTATTAAGAGAAAAAGAAAACGATAGCATCATAGATTCAATTAGAAGTCAAGAGGGCTAGATAGTGTGAACCTTGTAATCTGAGAAGCCTCCCTGGTGGACGTGGACACTGAAAGAGCATAAGAGTGAAATTCGGCAGATCAATAATGTACTGAAATTTAGCTAGTTTGCAGTTTGACCCATCCTGATATTCAGCTGTTTCCTCTTTGTTTCTCCTCCCACTGATTAACTGAAGAACTCTTTGTTCCCTTTTTCAAGGCTACCATACTCTGTTAATTAACAAACATCCTAACCTAAAAGGAGCAGCTTCTTTAATCCTCAGGCACCCACATGGGACCCAAAATCACAACTCCCTAGCAGTTTTTCACAGATGGCTATGGACAACAAGATTTAAGATAACATTGAGGCAGCCCTGCGGTCTCAGAAGACCCCAGGAGAAAACTTCTCAACTATCGCCCTGAGACCTGCTTTCTTTTGTTCTTTCCCATTTACCTGCCTATAAAACCTTCTGGCCAGTCTAGGAACAGGAGGTGGCCTTTGGACAGGAGTCCACCATCCTCCCAGAATTCTGGCATTCTGAATAAACCTGTTTTTCTTTCCACCAACTACACCTCTCAATTTTTAACTTTTGCAAGCAGCAGGCAGCCAGACCGTAGCACGGTTAAGAAGAGTCCTGTGGCACTTTGGTTGACAAGAATTGGATGTGATCTTGGAGATCTAGCTCTACCTCGTTGTTTTACAGGTAAGGAATTCTGGCCCAGAAGCACTGCCCACAGTCACATAGCCATGTTCCTAATAAGTCAAACCTAGAATGGCTCCTCTCCTCTTCCACTGCCATTTCTATTTCATGCTGCTGCCCCTGCTTCTTACACAATTACATAAACAGCTAATCCCTCCCTACCTATAAGGGTGGGGGAGAGCAGGTGAATACCCCAGATACCATGCCCCCCTAATGCTGCAAATCCTCACACGGCACTCGTTGAAATGGACTGGTATCATCGTGGAGTAAGAACAAGATAAGTGAAGTCCATCTGTTACTACCCATGTACCTTGCGAGAGATGAGCCCAGGTAATCTCAGCCATCAGGGTACCTGATTGACAGCTAAATCTTAGGGGCCAGAAAATAGGTGAGCACCTTCATTCAGGGCTTTGAAGGGCTCAAAGAGAACACTATCCCCTAACTTCCCCTCTGGAGTGATGCTACTGCTCGCTAGCAAGCCATTCTTCTTTGTTACTTACCTGGGACAATGAAGACTGAAAACAATAACGACTGCAACGATTGACATTCAATGGCATTACCGTATGGAGGGCACTGTCCTAAGCGTTTGACATGCATTATCTCATTTGGCCCTCACTACAGTGCTCTGGCATACTCTCCCCAATTTATAGATGGGAAAACTAAGCACCTCACCCAAGGTCCCACAGCCAAAGGAGCTAGAGCTCCATCCAATCCAGGCCAGCTTTAAAGTCTGTACAGGCATCAGCCAGGCAGTCTTGGGCAAGCCACTTAACCTCTCACAACTTCAGTTTGTGATGTCAACTGGGGACAATGACACCTGCCTTGCAGATTAGATATAATAGACGTAAAGTGTTTAGTACAGAGTCTATACTACAATAAGTTCTTCATACAAAGAAGCAATTTTAGTGTCTTCTTCCTATTCTTCTCATTTACTATACAAAAACTCAAGGGAGAAGAAATATATTCCTTCTGTTAATGCCTCGATGAGAATAAGAATGAAAGGAGAACTCAATGAGCACACTGGGAGACCTTGTGAGACCACAGTAAAAGACCCTAAGAACACTTTACTTACCACAGTTTGGCCCAAGTCTGTCTGGCCAGTGGAAGACAAGCTAGTATCCATGTCATTAAACTAGACAGGGCATGTTTATGGACTGAACAATGGAGGGCCTCACTTGATCCGTAAAAGGTATTATTCCTGAGTGCCTTTGGGATTCCCAGAGATAAACTGAGCTCACTTCTGTGGTAATACCAGCCATTACATGGACCTGTTACAGAGTGCCAAGGCCAGCATTTTACACACAGTCTCTCAGTGCATCCTCACAGCATCCCTAGGAAGTAAGGATTATTCTGCCTATTTCATAGAGGATACAAGCCTAAGTTTGCTTGACACATAAACTCATGATCTTAAAACTGTATTTATTAGAAAAGACTGGTTGCAACAAGGGGGGCGGGAAATCAAAGGAGGAAATAGTGTTATGAAAGTAGTATTTCACAGGTTTGCTGATTAAGGAACCAAAACTGAAAACTGGAAAGTTGTTTCTCTCTCTCTCTCTCTCTCTCTCTCTCTCTCTCTCTCTCTCTCTCTCTCTCTCCCCTCCTCCTCCTCTCCCTCTCCCCATCCCCTCCCTCTCCCTGTCCCTCTCCCTCTCCTTCTCTCTCTCTCCATTTTTCCCCCAGTCTTCTCTATCTCTTAGTAGAATACCTCTCTATCTCGCCTGCTTTATTGTACAATTAGCTACTCCATACTTCTGAGGTTATATGCCGCTGATCCATCCTCCCATGAAGGCTTTTTTCAGGTCCCCGAGAGAAGAATCATATTGGTTCTGGTTGAGTTAGGGGTCTTCCAATGTTCATACCGGTTGGGTATCAGTACAAACATGGCAAGCAGGAACCACCCCTGTGAATTGCAAGGCACAGAGAAAAGGGACTGATGCTCAGGGTGGACAATCACTAAAAAGGTATCCTTCTAGCTATACTACTTTCCTATAAGATGTTCAAGCATCTATTCATTTCAGAAAATTCAAAGCTAACATGACCTCTATTAACATAAGCATTAATCAAGGAATGTAATAAAGATGTTAGATGCCTAAAGACATTGCTTTAGGCAGAGAAACTAGTAAACCTAGAATGTGGGCTAGCCAATTAAAGTGCACCAGGCCAGTTGTCTGCTTTAAATATTTTCTAGTTTCTGTGGCAGTACTCTCTGATAGGGGGAACAAGAACAAGCCACATACATAATTTTAAATACTTTAGTAGCAACATTTTTGTAAAAGTAAAAGGAAAGAGATAAAATTCATGTTAATAATACCTTTAATTTAACTCAATATCCATAATATTATCATTTTCAACATGTGATCAATACTAAATATTATTAATGATCGATTTTACATTTTCTGTACTGTCTTCAAAAATCTGATATGTATTTTACATTTACAGCACATCTCAATGTGGATGCAATATTTTCATTGGAACTATCTGATTGGAATTAAATTTCCTAAAACATACAGTTAAATAAGTAGAGTTGTAACCACATTCCATTATTTTATGCTGTTTTTCATTAGTTACACAGGATGAAATTAATTCATGTCAGGGGTCATGGTTTTCAGTTATCTCCCACTGAGCTTAGTCTATTGTCTGTTCCCCCTGTGTAGAAGCCATTATCAGTAAAGACAGCTGTGCTGAGACTGTGTGGGCCTGTATCCCACAAAAGGAAAAAACAGCTGGAAACTGAGAGATACATTCCTTCACCTCTTTGCTTAGTCTCTAAGTGATAGCAACTAATTTTTTTTCATAGATTGACTAAACAGAGCATTTTGTTGATTTTTGAGGGTTTTGTCGGTTTGTTTGTTTGCATTTAAACAACACAGTTTTCCTTAGAAATTTCCTTCAAAATTTCTTTTGAAATTCTATAATTACATACGGGGGTCTGGAGATGCTGAAAGTGCAAATCACTGATAACAAAATGCAAGCAGCTAATATTTGTCTCCTCCTGATAATTCTTGAGGACAGCAGGTATTAATTAGCAAGGAGGCAACAGCCCTCGTGGAGAGCACCCAGGCAAGACTTCCAGGATGAATGACAGATCGAGAGCTACCAGTAGAAGCCGTCTGGATAATGGTCTATGAGTTTAAACCCCGTAAAGACAACACATGCCTGACAGGTTCCAGGCTGGTGCCAGGGAAAGTCGCCCCCCAGAAAATACGTTCCAGTCCCTTCTGCGCCAGCCTTTTCACACTCTCCTCTCCGTGGTATTGCTGAGCCTGGCGAGGCCTCGACTTTTCTTCTTTTTCTTATCCGTGTTTTGATTCGATGAAGGAAGGGACAGCTCCATCTCCCTTTTCTTGGCGTCCCAGTCTTCGTCCCGCTCATCCAGCAGTAGCCCTCTCTGGCTGGCGGTGCGGCGGTGGTCCCGGCACTCCGGCTCAGCCCTAGGAGAGGGGAAGAGAGCGGTTCTCAAACAGCAGGCAGGAGAGCCTGGCCTCTCTTCCTGCCCTCCGCACACAGCCTGGGCACCTCTGAGGTCATCCACAGAGCAGGAGGCCCAGCTCGATCTGGCGGTTCTGCAAGCGTACACGTAGGGAGGTTTCAGATACGTACTTAAAAAACTACTTGGAGGTGGAGAAAAGCATTGTGCCTGGAGTGAGATGTTAACAGAATCAAAGACAGTAAGGCACTTAGATGGAAGAAGACACTGTTAATTCTTCAAAGGTTCAAGTTTATAGAGCAACTAGCAAATTAGTAGGAAGCTGTCTTCCTTCATTTATTTTTGAATGGTAATTTTTCCGAATTATAAAAGTCGTGCATTGTAAAAAATGTGAAAGTACAGAAATATATAAAGGAGGAAATAAAAATTACTTAGAATCACATAGGTACTATATGTAGTGATGGGTTTATGTAAAAAATAGTTATAGGTAGGTAGGTAGGTAGATAGATAGTCATACGCACATGGACAATGGGAGGTGTACACATGTGCCTTTTATATGTGAGGCCAGAGGTGTATGGGTGACTTGCTAAAAGACATTGGTGAAAGCCACTTCACAGAGATAAAACTTGAGCTAGAGGAGCACAAATGGAATTTGAGAGGATAGAGGACGGTACTGGGAGGGCAAACAGTATTTTAAGTGCAAAGCATTATAAAAAGCACAGTTCTTTCAGAGGATACCAAACCTGCTTCTCCCTCAGCCCCCATTCTCCCCACAAGCCAGAAGTGACCTCTCAATAATCAGACCCCATTCGGCCAGTGCTCCTCTCAACATGCAGTGTCCCTCCTTTAGCCAGCTCTTAGGACCCTTGTCACGTTCTATCTTGTATTAGTGTAACTTATGTGAACAAGTCACCTCCCAGACAAGGAACTTCTTGAAGTCCCAGCCCTGTATCTGATGTATCTTTAAACCCTTTCTAGTACCCAGTTCAAGGTCATGCACATAGGAGGTCTCCAAAATATTTGTTGAATGAGAGATGTACTATTCAGCGAGGCTGAATCAAAAGTCGAATTATTCCACTAGGATCCTTAGAATATTCGGAAAATCGTCATATGCTGTCTAGGCTTCTTTTAAAACTCTCTTACGTCTTTCCTCTTTGTCATCATCGCCCAGGAGCTCACCTACTTCCAACACAAAGTGTTAAGAAATTCCTCAAGTGGTTTTCTGGCCTGTGGTCTAGGTGCCTCCAATCCTATTAGCATCATGGCACCACCGCTGCTTCTTCCACTGCAGAAGTAACTTTGCTGAAGCATCTGCTTCATGATGAGCTCACATTCATATGCTTGCCCAGCTCACCCACCCACCCACTGAACCTTATAAATACTCTCTACTTCTCTCTAGTGTGAATAGCTCTTCTTAGCCTGGCCACTCATTCCTCTACCATCGCTCCACCTCCTCACATATACACACAACCTATGCACATTTTCAATGTGGTGCCTTCCCTTCCGATCAAGACCCTTTCTCCCTCCTCCATTAGCCAGGTCTTAGCTATCTTTCAAGGTCCATTTTAATTTCCCCCCGAACAGTATTCCTTCTCTCTAAAACCCTGTAACTGTCAGAAGGGAAGTTCCTTATGGGAGATGATGATAAGTAGAAATGACTGACACATGATATGGTTTTTTTTGTCTGCTCAGCACTGTCTGCCCACTTTTTCTGGAAACAGCACTCTTAGCTATTTGGAGGAACCACTCCTGCCCCACTTCAGTTACACTCGGGTCGTCTCGGGTCACGCTCATCTACCCATTGGTCACTAAAGAGGCGCTAACATTAGAGAAAGCCAGTGGACAGGACCCTGAGGAATTTCAGCATCTGAAAAGCATGCACAAATAGGAGCTTAGAGAAAATCATAAGAAATAGTCAGACAGACAGAAGGAGAACTAGAAGAGAGTAGCATCAGATAAAGCAAGAGAGAAAAGTTTCAAGAATATCAAATATAAAGTTAAGTGGAGGTAAGATGTGAATTGAGAAGAGGCCATTGATTTAGCAAAAAGAATCTCTCTCCCTGGTGTCTTGGAATGAGAGCTGATTCAGGACAATGATAAATCTTGTGCCATGTCCCATTTTCAAACTTGGTGCCCCACCTCTCTTATCTGAGATGATTTTTGTATAATCTAAAACAACAATTATAATAATTATATATTATGTCATTAAAATTATGATAATATATAATTATAAAAATTAAATTTTTTGTGTAATTAAAAGCAATAGATTGTACATAATCCAAAACACTACAGTTTCCACCCCAAACTAGTCTTTTCAGTGAAAAATTGGTTGGGTGGACTTCCTCATTTCATTTTCATTGACCCGAGATGACTGAGTTGGCAAACACCTTGATCACGGGCTCTTATTTTGTGGCTGAGAGCCTTGTGACTTTGATGTCCCTAATATTTTTGGCAGCTAGAATCAAATAATTTAATTCTTAATTAGGATATAAGAATAGGCTTTAACTAAACGTTTCCATTGCTTTTGTTGTCATGTAGCTTATAGTCAAAGATTAAGAAAGTATGTTAGTCATGTTACTGCCTGTAAAGCAAGTTCCAGGGGAAATGTTTAAAAGTATGCTTTCCTTGAGATAATAGAAAAGTAGAGCTATTTATCCACCAAACAATGATAGCTTAAACAATGGCAATAGTCCTAAGATGTCTAGTCTCTGCTTTTTGCCTCAAAGATAATGTCACTGGTGTACATTATGAGCTATTTTGCAGAATCCTGGTTCTTCAACCTAGCACCCCTTGTTCTCACAATAGAATTTTGTGTTGCTGATGTACTGTTTCTTTGTTAAGCAAGAGGAGATAACTTCAGGGTCTCAAGGACAATTTTTTAGTTCGTTTTGCAGAAGGAAAGAATGTCTTCCAGGTAGCTATGACCAGCTGCTGACGCCCATGAGTCTGATTCGAGAAACTGTCATCTGTGATTAAAGAAACACAGACTTGTCTCTCAGTTCACTGGAACTCCCCCTCCCTTACTCCCTAGCTGCATAAAAACTCCCCACTTTTGTTTTTTTGGGAGAGATGGATTTGAGAGAGCTTACTCTCCCATCCTCTTACTTTGAACAAATCAAATAAACCTTTCTCTGTATCCAAGCACCAGCATCTCAATGTTTTGGCTTACCAGTGCATCGGGCATACAAACTTGAATTTTGGGAGGTGATTCTGCAACAGTTTCTTGGCCCCATCTATAGTTCAAAATAAATGGAACTTACTGCTCCAGGAAAGCCACACAGGCTTTCTGCCCGTAGATCTGCGCAATCCTCTTGGGTGTGTCTCCGAAGAAGTCAGGGGCATCGATGGCGGTGTGCAAAGCATGGAGAGCTCTGAGCACATTCAGATGGCCTGACTCAGCTGCAAAATGAGCTGGGGTCCAGCCCACATCAGTTACCAGGCAGGACCTGGCTCCGTATTCTATAAGGAGCTGCATCACCTTCATATGCCCTTAGATAAAGAAATGACAGGCGGTTAAAATTAAAATGTCTCTTCAGGCCTGAGGCCAGGGTTAGTCTAGGTAGCACAAAAAAGGGGGAGGGCTGTTTTGCTTTTGAGGCCCCTCCAGTTTCCTGGCATCATCCCCTCCTTCCTTTTCCCTCTCCTTAATGAGGGACTCAGTGCCCCACCCTTCCCCATGAGCCATGCTTTTGACTCAGGGCCCACAGCCCTCTAAGTATTCCCCCCACTCCTTCCAGGACACACCCCTCCCTGTTTATTCCTACAGCCTCTGCCTAGATATCTTGCTTTCTCTCGCAAGTCAGTATACCCCTGCCTAACCTGGCACTGGTAAGGCTCTGTGCTTTTGGCAGTATCAGTGCTGATTTCAGAAACAAATCATTTTGCTCTAACATGGATGGACCTTGAGGGCATTATGCTAAGTCAGACAGAGAAAGACAGAAATAAGTCAGATACTGTATGATCTCACTTATATGTGGAATCTAAAAAGCAAAAAAACAAATCAAGCTCATAGATACAGAGAACAGATTAGATTGATAGTTTCGCGGTGGGGAGGAGTGGTAAAATGGGTATAGGTCGTCAAAAAAGTACAAACTTCCAATTATAAAATAAGTCATGGGGATGTAATTATAGAGTGGCAACTATAGTTAATAATATTGTATTGCATATTTGAAAGTCGCTAAGAGAATAGATTTTAAAAGTTATTACAAGAAAAAATTTTTGTCACTGTGGACGGTGATGGATATTACTATGCTTACTGTGGTGATCATTTCACAATATATACAAAACTTAAATCATTATGTTGTACCTGACACTGATATAATGTTATATGTCAATTACACCTCAGTAAAAATATTTTAAGCCTCACTTACATTAAGCCTCACTTATATTATATTGTATCCTCACTTAAAAATATTTTAAGCTAGCACAGATTAATAGCACAGGCTTCCTAGCCAGATAGATGGGGGTGCATACCTTATAATAAATACTACTTGCTAACTATGACACCCCTGATAAACAAATGTCTGAGGCTCAGTTTCTTCATTTGTAAATTAAGGATATCACCACTTACCTCACTGAGTTCTTGTGAAGTACAAATGAAATCACAGATACAAAGTACATAGTACAGTACCCAGCATATAGCAAACGTTTCCTAAAAGTTTCCCTAGTATAGCTACCATGACACTGCACTTAAATTTCTGCAAAATGCTCCCACGTGATTTCTCTGCAGCCTGTCTTGCTTTCTGCCAATCTATTCTCCATACAAGAGTCACAACAAAATTTTAAAAAACAAAGTTGGCTCTAACACTTTCTTACTTAACATTCTTCGATGGCATTCTATCACTGAAGGCCTTGACAAGCACATTGGCTGAGTTTTTGCCACTATCCTATCCCAATTCTATAACCGAGCCATGTGACACATGGGGAATACAGCAATGAAAATGACAAAGTCCCTGTCCCACCCCAGGAATGGTGCTCCATTCCTGTCAGAGGTCAAGAGGGCAGACGACTACTATTCATTAAGAGCAGACTATGTGCTAGGCACTGTACACCCATTATCTTACTGAATCCTCACTGAAGACTCCAAGGGAGCATTATTGCTCCCATTGTATAGATCAGGGGTCAGCAAACTGCAGCTCGCAAGCCACATGTGGCTCTTTGGGTACATGCCGTCTCAAAAGTTTGCCGACCCCTGGGAGAGCCAATCCTGTCCCTCACAACAATTTAAAAGTTATTCGAGAGCCATAAATATATTTTTACAAATAAGGAAAATTTAAAGTAGTATTATAAACAAAACTATGATAGCTTTATTTTCATTTTCAATTTTACTTCAGAGCCACATGTACGTACCCAAAGAGCCGCATGTGGTTTGCGAGCCGCAGTTTGCCGACCCCTGGCGGCTCTTCTGTCTCAAAAGTTTGCCGACCCCTGGTCTAGATGAATAAACTAAGGTCTAGAGGCATTAAATAAGTTGCTTAAGCTGCTGCAACTAGTAGGTGGTGGTGCCAGGATTGAAATGTTCCCAAGAAATGTTTTTTCTACTACCTCACACAGACTGTCATGAATAGCAGGGCCATGGATTCAACCTAGGCATTGCCCACTTACCTTTGATTGCAGCCCAATGAAGTGGGGTTCGGTCATTCCAGTCCACATCTTTGTAGTTTGGGTCACAGAGACCTTTCTTCAAAATTCTTTTTACTACCTTATAGTCCCCTGCAGCCACAGCTTGGTGGAGCTTTGTCATGTCTGACATTTTGGTCAATTCCATGACAAAAACAACTGTGGGGAAAACATGCCACTTAGGAAGTTTTCTACAATTCTTCTTCATTCCCAGTGAGTGATTCCACAGGAGTCTTTACCATCTGCTTTCTTTCTTATCTCATAAATTTGCATCCAGGGTTGTTTCTTGCATGTACTCTGTTGGGTATATATTTGGATCTTACTGTGGTTAGTGCATGTCAGTCCCCTACCCCAAAACTATCAATGGCTCCCCTCTGCACAGGATTATAGGCTAAACCCATGCATTGGCTCTTTGGCCTCAAACCACTTTCCAGTGCTATTTCCTACTCTAACTGCAAAGTGTTAGTAGTGTGACTCTGAGCTGGTTGTGTAATTGTGTTCCTTAGCTTTCTCATCTGTAGAATGGGCATAATTTGTCAGGGTTGTTATGAGGATACAATGACAATCCATGTGAAAAGTTTATACCAGAATTGTAAGGGATTCAGAATAGCCAAAGCAATCTTGAAAAAGAAAAACAAAATAGAAGGACTCACACTTCCTGATTTCTAAACTTACTACAAAGCTACAGTAGTCAAGACAGGGTGGTACAAAGTACACAGTGTGACAGAAAGATAGACATATAGAGCAATGGAATAGAATTGAGTCCTGAAATAAATCCTTACATTTATGGTCAATTGATTTTCAACAAAGGTGCCAGGAAAATTCAATAGGGAATAGATAATCTCTTCAAATGGTACTGACACAATTGGATATCCACAAGCAAAAGAATGAAGTGGGTCCTCTACCTCATGCCACATACAAAACTTAACATGAAATGTATCAGAGACCTAAACAGAAGTCCCAAACTAAAACTGTTAGATGAAAACATGGAGGTAAATCTTTATCACATTGGGTTAGGCAATGGTCCATGGGTAGGACAAAAAAGGCACAAGCAACAAAGGAAAAAATTTAATAAATTGCATTTCACTAACATTATATATTTTTATTCTGTAAATGATACCTTTGATAAAAGCAACCATAGAATGAATGAGAGAAAATATTTGTAAACCATATATGTGATAAGGGATTTGTATCCAAAATATATAAAGAACTCTTAAAACTTAACAATAAAAAAATAATAACTCAATTAAAAAGGATCAAAAAAATATAAACAGAAGTTTCTCCAAAACAAATATGCACACAGCCAATAAGAACATGAACAGGTGCTCAGCATCATTAGTCATCAGGGAAATGCAAATCAAAACCACAATGAGACACCACTTCACACCCACTCAAATAACTATTGTCAAAAAAAAACCAAAAACAAATAGCAACAAGTGTTGGAGAGGATATAGACAAATTAGAACCTTTGTACAGTGTGGTGGGAATATACAATGGTGTAGCCACTTTGGAAAGCAGTTTGGTAGTTCTTCAAAAGATTAAACATAGAGTTATTAATATTATATGACCAGTAACTCTAATCCTAGGTATATACCTAAAAGAAAAGAAAACATATGTCCACACAAAAGCTTGTACACAAATGTTTATAGCAGCATTATTCATAATAACCCAAAAGTAGAAACAACCCAAATGTGCATAATGAATAAAGGCACACATAAAATGTGGGATACTCATACAATGGAATATTATTTGACAATTAAAAGGGAATGTGGTACTGAGACACACTACAACATGGATGAACTTTGAAAACATGCTAAGGGAAAGAAACCAGTCACAAAATACCACATATTGTATGATTCCATTTATTTGAAATGTTCAGAACAGGAAAATCTAGAGAGCTAGAATGTGGATTATCTGTTACTTACAACTGAAATGAAGTCAGAGTAGGAGGTGAGTGTAAAGGAGTGTAGGATTTCTCTTTGGGTGATGAAATGTTCTAAAATTAGATAGTGGAGGATGACGCTTTCACAATTTTGAATATATTAAAAACCTCTGAATTGTGTATTTTAAATAGATGAATTTTACAGTATGTGATTATATCTCAATAAGACTATTTTTAAAAGAAATGATACTATTAGATTTTTCTTTAGAAAACCAAAAATGTGTTAGTAAAAAACATGTACTTCACTAGCCTACCCCTGACTACTAACATTTAACAAAATTCCCTTTATATGAATCCTTGTATATTTGATTAAGTGCGCTTGAACTTCTATCTTTCTGGTACAGATGTCTCAATGTAAAAAAGTAGCCAGTATAAGCTCTAATAAACATGAATGATCTATAATAACCATAATAAACATCTGACGACAGGGGTAATATAAAAATACTTACTGTCTTGTTTGAAATTCAAGTGCTCCCTCCTGGCAGGGACACTTAGCTGCTCCAGTCTTGTTGTGTTCACACCATGGAAACTGACCCCTCCTTCCTCATTTAAGCCTGCCAATCAACCTCAGCTTCCGGTGCGGACTGCCCCTCTACTTTGTGCTGAAACTGGTCAGCAATTCTAGCCTGCTTCTACAGTCCAAGTGTGGTACCTAGCAGGTTATTTTTAAATAGTATTTGATCAAAAACATGAAAGTTGAAAAAAAGGGTCGCCAGTCCACAAGACACAGCAGAGATAACCTGTTGGGTAACCATTATAGTGTAGTGGGGACAATATATGCCCCTCACATTCAGAACCAGCTGTGAGATCTTGGGCCCTTAGCTTTGCTGAGCCTCTTTTTTTTTCTGACCAATAAAATGAAGTTTTAATGCCTTTCTCATAGGTCTGTGAAAGATGAGTAGCTGAAATAATTTATAAAGCACCTGGCACAGGGTAAAGGAAAGGAGGAAGGGAGGGAGAAAAACTTGAGGTGCTTTCTTTTTACCTCCTGTTTTTGCTCCCTTATTCTCCCCATCTACTATCTTTATGATGATTGCTGGTTTAAAAGACTGTCTTCCTCCCTTCTTCCCAACTCTCCCTCTCTTCTTTTATTGCCTCTTCTTCCTCTTTCTCCTTCTTCTCCTCTTTCTCCTCCTGCTCTCTCTCTGCCCCCTGATTTTCTTTCTTTTTTTTTTTCTTTCTCCCTCCATTCCTCCCCACATGTATTTATACCTGCCTGGCCCTGTATTGGGCCCTGTGAAGAACGACACACTCATTGTTCCTCTCTTCTTTGAGCTTAGAGTCCAGAGAAAAAGGCAGACAATAAAAAAGAAAACCAAATAAATATGCACATTTAAAATGACAGTTTGTGTAAGTGTTGTGAACAAACAGCGTGCAATGGTGGAGAATAATGGGAAAGGAGGGTGACCATGGGCGTCCTGAAGTGGTGACATTTGATCTGAGACTTGGCATAAGAGAAGGCAGGCAGCTGAGGAGCCAGGGAGGTGTTCCAGGCAGGGGAGGAGGGAAATTTTTTTAGCTTAAGTGAGAAGTAAAGTAGAGGGGGGTGCAGCTGGTCTATGGGGCGTGGGCAAGAAGAACAAGATAAGATGAATTTAGTAGAGGCAAAAGCGAGATCATTTGGGGTCTGCTGGGATAGGGCAAGGAGCTTGGATTTTATTCCAAGTACAAGGAGAAGTGATTCAAAGCTTTTAAGAAAGGAACAGGTGGTGCAATTTATGCTTTTAAAAGGTAACATTGGCTTCTACATGGGGAAAAGACTGAAAACAGACAAAATTGAACAGAAAGACCACTGAGAAGGCTATTGCTAAAGCCCAGACAAGAAAGGATAGTGGCTTGGTGTATTTGGCAATGGAGATGTAGAGAAATAATCGAAATCAAGAATGATTTAGGAGGAAATATTCACAGATATTAACAGATACAACGTCAGTGGGTTAGACAGGACTAGTGAGGGAGATGGAGGGATTAAGGATGACTGTTGGGCTTCTGGTGTGACCAACTTGGTGTGAAGGTGGTGACTTTTGGTGTGGTGGTGACTAGGGGAGGGCCTGGTTTGGTTAGAAGAAGGGAAGTTAAATTAAATGTTCTGTTTGCATGTGTTAAGTTTTCAGAAATCTGTAAGGCATCCAAATGTCAAATAGGAGTCCAGAATCTGTGACTTTTGGGCTAAAGATACACATTTGGAGTTGTCAGCATTCAGATAATATTTAAAGGTACAGGCCTATGTAAATAAACCAAGGACAGCAGGTACAGAGAGGAGAGACACCCAAGCCCTGAGTCCTGCCATCATTCTGAGGGAAAATTATCAAAGGAGATTAAAGAGCCCTGTTGGGGAGGGGAACCAGAATATAGTCTCACAGAAACTAAAGAAGAAGGGGGTGGTTATAAGGAATAACGGGCAGGTTTGTCAAGGAAGGTGGAGTTTAATGAACACCTATTACAGGCTGGAAAAGATTCACATGAGACACCCATGCCCACCCTCAAAGAGCTCAGTGTCTTGTTGTGCTTCTTAAGCTTTATAACAGTTCCAGTTCAGCTTGACTTCATTCAACAAATACGTATTTGATCAGCAACTAATATGGGCTGGGAGATGCAAGAATACAAGGACAGAGCCCAGCCCTCAAGGAGCCTATAATATAGTAAGGGATCGTTGATAAGAATTGCAGCTATTGGGCCGGCCGAGTGGCTCATTGGTTAAGAGCTGGCATGGGACGCCAGAGGGCCTCAGTTCGGATCCCACATGAGGGCCAGTGATACTGCGCCCTCTACAGCTAAGATGGTTAACAACAGCTCGACCTGGAGCTGGGCTGCCCTGAGTCGCCGGTGATGGCATAGGCCACAGTGGGACTGCAGTGGGCTCCCGTAAGCTACCATGAGTGGCCAGCAGCCAGCATAAGCAGCCGGCAGCCGACGTGAGCTGCTGTGAGCCTCCGTGAGCGGGCCATCCAACGGCCGGCGACCCATCTGCCTCAGCCGGGAAGAGCGCAATGATAATACCAATGTGGGCCAGTGAAGCGACGTCCTCCACAACTAGACTGAAGAACAAAAGGACAGCAACTTGTCTGTTCTCCTTCCCCCGATTCCCCAGCACTGTTCCCCTCCCCCAATTCCCCAATAAAATCTTTAAAAAAAAAATTTTTTTGCCATCAGCAAATTTATGCATCTGGGGATGCACCCATCCTACATACTTCCTTCCCTAATACAGGTGATTCCCACTTTTCAAAAGTTCACATTATGCCACTTTACTCTTATGAAAGATCTACATTTGTACTCATTTTCACTAACCAAAAGCAATCCAATGAGAATTTTTGCTTTTATGAAAAAAGGTAAAAAGCACAAACTATTTGTTACAGAGGTAGAGCACACCTGAGCTGTGAGAATGGCCCCACAGAGATCCTTGCCCGAAAACTACACTCAGCATCTCAGAGTACAGCCACCATAGCTTTGATCTGTGTCTGTGAGCGTCTGTGATTTATCTTCATTTATTTGTGCATCTGTTAGAAAGCTGTGTCCAGAGACATCCAAAAAGCCTAAGGGAGCTTGTTAGGATGTTACACTTAACATAAAACTGTATGTAATTAAGCCTATTTGTTATTATTTGATCAATTCTTTTTGGGGCCTGGGAATGCTCAAAAATTTTTCCATACAAATTAATGATAATTGCTTCTTCACTTTCTGCCATTTCAGTTTCCCAGTGGTTTCATAGGAACTCTATGTTCAGATAGAGGGAGAAACCTTTAATAGATTTCTGGCTCCAAGTTTCTTGACAAGTCATGAGCTGACCAGGAAGTGAAGCAACCAAAGGGAGAGGCCCCCCAGAATTTCTCATAAGTCAAGAGTGAGGTGATGAAGAAATGACTAAAAAGGGTATATTCTGAATTTTAAAAAATATTAAATATTGACACAAATAGCACACAAGACCATATAAAAAATTAGAACATGATATATACTGATCTTACAAAGCTACTAGTTCTTTTTACACTACAAGTAGTAGGATCTGCTAATGGGATACTGAATTTGTGTGGTGTAAATTCTTGTTAATGTTGTCAATGTAAACTCGTACTTGAATGAATAATTTCATCTGGGGTTAATGTCGACAATCTACCTTGGAGGGACTCTCACCCCTGTCATGATAGGCCACCGAGGCCTCCAGGCAATATCTGTAAGCTAACTATTGACCTTTGGTCTCATTGGCTCAAGCACTGGGACTAAAATCTCTGACTGAGGTGACTTCAACGAATCAAAGCTATTTTTACGTCAGGAAGAAACTCTAGAAATCGAGTCAAAAGTTCATTTCATAGATAAGAATATTGAGATCCACAGACATTAATTTCTTTAATGAAAGTCACACTGCTACTGGGTTTGTTTGTTTTTTTTCCCCTCAATCTACTACCCCTCTGACATCGTATATAGCTATCACAGTTCCATTGACTATTGCCTATGCTGTACTCCACATCCTGTGACTGTATATTATATATATATATGTATATAAAATTATAGTTGACATTCATTATTATTCAGCTTCAGCTCCAGGTTTACACTGCAGTTTTAATTCATCTTTTACTGCCTCCCCCACCCCAGTTAAGCTCAGCATGCAGAGTAGATGCACAGTGACCACAAGTTCCAGTATGCACTGGGCAGCTTTGCCATCCCCTTACTTACTGTTGACCCCTTCTACCTCCTGCCAATTCTAAAGAAGATGATAATAACAAACCCATATAGACATTGTTCTCAGTGCTTTAACATGCATTAACAAGTTTAATCATGTGGGGCAAGTACAATTATTATCCCTATTTCACAGAAGAGCACACTAAGGCACACAGGGATCAAGTGACTTGCCTAAGGTGACAAAGCTAGTTGTCGGACAACCCAAACAGTTTGGTTGCAGCATCTACATATGGTCTTATCTACTCTGCTGCAATGCTTCCTGAGTCTCTAGGTTGAAGTCACATGCAAGAGTTATTGAAATTAAGACGTCCCTGCCTGGGAAACGATTCAGTTTCAGTTTCAAACCAATACCTGTGAAAGAGGCAATACAATGAGGTGGACAGAATGATGACCTGGGAACTGAGAGAGGCAGGGAGGAAATGAAATATTTGTTGAGTGGCCTTTGTACATCAGGCATTATTCGAGGTATTTTGTGGGTATTATCTCATCAATCCTGAGTCTGAGATATAGCTTACAAGCAAGGAAATGGAGGCTCAGAGGGCTTAAGCATACTCAGACAAGACCTGTCTACTTCCTGTTGAGAGCTGAGTGTGGGAGAGCTGATCAGACTCAGTGTCTAAAGGTGTTACTATCAGGGCCCAAATCTGAAGGAAGTTCCAGTGTTTCCTGCATCTGGGACTTGATAGGTGAGAATAGGGTTCCATTTGTGGTTTCCGAATCATTTGTTCCCTTCTACCTATATACATCTTGTAGGAGCTTTCAGGGGGCCACCAAGTCAGAATGGAGGACCTTGTCTGACATCTTGGACCATCCCTGGGATCAGACAGCAGAAGGGGAATGTGCTGG